AGAGAGAGAGGAAGTGAGAGGGAGGGAGGGAGAAAAACATCAATGATGAGAGAGTCATTGATCAGCCGCAGCCCGCAACCCAGGCATGTGCCCTGACCGGGAATCGAACCCCTATCACCTGAATCCTAGGTCAACGCTCAACCGCTGAGCCACGCCCGGCCGGGTGCCAATAACTGTTAGAAAGATCAGCACTGCAAAGATCCCTTTCCTGTGTGAAGGGCTGCTGAAATGAGACAGCTTCTAGGGATGACAGCCCTAAAATAACCCCTGAAAGGAACAAGAGGGAGCTATGTAGTTCTACTTTACCTGTTCTGGTTCCAGGGCTATTTTAGTTTTAAACTCCTGGAAAATTCTGTCTTCCCTGGATTCATGTTTTGCCATGGAATCCAATTCTTCCTCGGGTGCTTCACCTGAAAAAACATCAACCACCATTATGGCAACAGGAATAATCCCCGTGACTTGACAATTCACACTGGCCGAGGGCAGCCAGTTTCAAACAACCAAGTGCTGAATGAATCAGACCATGAAGGGCAGATGTTCCCAAGGGCTTTCCCTATTTAAATTCATTCAGGTTGGTTCTGTAAGACCATCTGAATTCCCAGGTACTCCAGGAAGCACTATTCACTATACAGGCTCCTAGTGAGCACTTTCTTCATTAAAGCTTCACATTTAAAAGAACAGACCCAAATCCTGGGCTCAGGATGGCTGTACCCAGCACAAGACAGGGCACACAACAAATGTGAGCCCTTCTTTTTTAAAAAATGTTTTTATTGATTTTAGAGAGAAGAAGGGAGGGGGACAGAGAAACATCGATGATGAAAGAGAAACCCCCTTGATTGGCTGCTTCCTGCACACCCTCTACTAGGGATCAAGCCTGCAGCCTGGTCATGTGCCCTAACTGGGAATCGAACCAGGAACCTCTTGGTTCATGGGTCCATGCTCAACCACTGAGCCACAGAGGCTAGGCTGTGAGCCCTTTTTATCACTAGTGCCCTAAAGCCACCTGGACTCTTACTTTAGGTCTCCTCATGCCTCACATTTCTCTTCCTAGCTGGTCCGCTTGCTTAGCCATCATGTTCACGTGGGACCTCCCAGCTTGTTCTTCTGTGCTCTCAGCTCTTGGGACCCCGGCTACTTCTACCACAGATGTCGCCAACAGGAGTTAAGTCTTTGTGACAAGTATCAATGTATATTTCTGATGTCCTTTGATGAACTATAGACCAGTAAGCCAAAATTCTAATCTAAAATCTAATTCGGTGGTGTTGCTTAAGAGCTCAAGTTCTAGTTGGTGAGACGTGAGCTCAAACTCCAGTTGTAAAAATAACTTGGGTCAGTTACGTGACAAACACGTTACACCCAGAACCTCAAAGTACTCACAGCAAAATGGGGTAGTGTCGCTAATTTGTTGATTTTCATGAGATCATGCACAAAAGCCCTTGATGCAAAGTAAGTATTGAATAAATGCTGCTGCCAATCAGCCTCTTATGTATTTGATCAGCAGAGGCTTTGGAGTAGATCAGCTCTAGAGAACCAACCAAATTGCATTATGTAAAACTGATCAGATGAAAGAGAAACTCACTTTGAAAGGGCCCTGCTGGCCCTGGCTGGGTAGATCAGTTGGTTAGAGCATCATCCCTGATATGCCAAGGCTGCAGGTTCGATCCCAATCAGGGCACATACAAGAATCAACCAATAAATGCATAAATAAGTGGAACAACAAATCTTTGTTTTCTCTCTCTCCCTTCCTCTCTCTAAAATATAAAAAAGAAATTAATTCCAGGTACTCACGTGCACCATCCTAATCTGAGGAACAGACTTTGATGCAGATGAACTTACTGTTTTCCAGCATCCTGTGCAGCCTACCCAGTGACCACCTGGATTCTTCCTCTGGTGTATCTTTATGGAACCAGAATGTGCCTGACATTTGTCAAGGTGGGAGGTACAGGAAGGATATTGTGAAATAAGGCAGTATTTGGAAAGTCTATACTGCAGCCCCCAAAGTGAGTTGACATTTCGTATCAGTACCTGTCTTCTTGACATATTCAACCCTTTGTTTCAAGCATTATGTACAATCACTTAATGAATAAAGCTCTGAAACTGACTCCTTACCCATGCTCCCTATAATCTCTGGTTCATCTTCTTTTTCGGAAACTTCAGGTGTAATCTCATCTTCTGTTTCTATGACAATTTCAAATTCTGGAAAAAGGAAGTTGTGATCTGGAACAGTATCGTCCAAATTATCTGAAACAAAAAAGGTAACTCACACCATTAGTAATAACTTGGTTTTGAAAATGGTCTAATAGTGTCCTATTTCTTTTTTATTTATTTTTAAAAAAATATATCTTTATTGATTTTGGAGAGAGGAAAGGAGAGGGGGAGAGAGAGAGAGAGAGAGAGAGAAACCTCAATGATGAGAGAGTCATTGATCGGCTGCAGCCCGCAACCCAGGCATGTGCCCTGACCGGGAATCGAACCCCGATCTCCTGGATCCTAGGTTGATGGTCAAGCGCTGAGCCACGCCCGGCCAGGCCCTATTTCCTTTTTAAATCCTCACCCAAGGACACTTTCCCCATTACTTTTCAGAGAGAGGAAGGGGGAGAGGGAGAAAGAGAAACAAAAAGAGGCAGAGAGAGAGACAGATACAGAGAGACAGGCGCCCTGCAACTGAGGCACATGCCCTTGACCAGAATTGAACTTGAGACCCTTCAGTCCAAGGGCCGATGCTCTAACCACAGATCCAAACTGGCTAGGTCAGTGTCCTATTTCTAAAGGATACTCCATATAGTAACAGTTTCCCCTAGTAAATTAATATATATAGCTCCAGCATTTTAGGTTGTAGGTCACAAGTTAAGTGCCTCTACTATGAGACATAACTAAGTGGGCAAGATCTCACAGCTCTTTTTTTCAGACACTTTTTAAAAATTGATTTTGAAAGACAGAGGAAGGGAGGGGGGAGGGAAGGTGGGAGAAAGAAGGGGAGGCATCCATAGGCTGCCTCCTAGACCTCCCTACTGGGGATCAAGCCAGAAGCCAGCCACTTGAGACACAAGCCAGGGCTCATAGCTCCTCTTTCATAAAGGTGTTGCTACCTAATGCCTGAAAAGTATTATAGCTTTTCTACTTTTAACTTTTCTCCACAAAATAAAAAAACCTGGGTTGACAGATGCTATGAAACTGAGCTGAAATTAAAAAATAAGATGGACTCACCCGACTGTCTACACGCCTGCTTGTGCCCCGATCTCCAGTCCACAGTCTGGTGCTCCTTGCTGCAGTAATGCGCCCGGTGACAGCCGGAGCACGTCTTGGGGCCTAAACAGCCGCAAACCCTGCAGAGATGAGCCCCGGACTTGAGCTGGAGGCACACGGACTCCCCCGCTGGGGGAGGATCCTCAGAAGGCGGCTCATGTGAGTAAAAGTCATTTTTCCTGGGTAGCTGATTTCTAAAAACTAAGAAAAATGAGAAGAAACACTGTATTTTAAATGAATCTATGTCAAGTGAGATATTTTAGTTTCCATTCCATACAGGACTGAAAAGACACCTGTTAAAAGACAAGGCAGTCTTTGCTTTCAGTGAACTTATTTTCTGAAAGGAGAGGAAAGTGGAAGAACAGGAGTCTTTAAGCCTGGAGAGCAGTTTGGGACCCACGACCGAGCCCGCCCAGCCTGCTCTTTAATCGAGGTAGTCGCCGGAGCAGCAGGCGGCGGAAAGGCCGGGAAGCTGCCGGACACCGACTTCGTCCGACCACGAGCGCGCACCAAGCGCCGACCCGGTGAGAAGGTCGGGGGGACGCGGACCCGAGGGAAGCCGCCCCCGGGCGCCCCGCCGCTCACCACGCAGGCCCGCGCAGCAGGGCGGCGCGCGGCAGCAGAAGAGGAACAGGCCGCGGTGGAAGGCGTC